GAGAATGCGAGCACGTGCACGAAGACGTCGTCGGGGATGCGGGGGTCGAGGAAGAGCCGGGCTTGCGCGCGCTCGTGGCACGGGGCCGTGCGGAAGTGCGTCGGCAGCTCGCGGCGGAGGGCGAGGAGCTGTTTTCGCGGCGCGGCGACGTACGCGGACCAGCTGCCGGCCGCGCGGACGTCCGCGAGGAACGCGGCTTTCTCCGCGCGTTCGGAGACAAGTCCCATGGCCTCGAAATCTCGGCCGCTGGCACTAAGCACGTCGAGCGACGCGCCCCGACTGAGGAAGAGCTTGCACGTTTTGACGACGTTGGCGTACGGGCTGCTGGCGGCACGATGGAGCGCGGTAAGCCAATAGCGACCGCGCGCCGCATCGACGTCAGCGCCGGCGTCCAGCAGGAGGACCGCTGCGTCGCATCGGCAGTAATCGGCGGCGGCGTGCAGCGGCGTATAGGACGAGTTGGCCGTCACCGCTTCCACGTCCGCACGGTGGTCCAGGAGCCAACGAATGACCGAACAGTACCCAAGCTCAGCTGCGCGATGCAGGCGCGTTTTCCCGGGAAAATCAATTAAGCCATACTGGTAGAACTTGAGAGCATTGATGTCGCCGCCAGAGCGGACCCACGCCCGCGCTTCGTCGAGAAAGGCCTGTTCCTCGGACGGCCGTAGGAGAAGACGTTCGTTCGCGTAGGCGACGACGACGTCGTCGTCCGAGTCCGCGCCGCCGCCGACGTCGGCGAGGGCGGCCGCGGGCCGGCTCGGCGCGCCGCCGTCCGCCGCGGGCGGCGCGCCGCCGCGGCTCTTCTTCGCGCAGCGGCGCCGCCGCCGCGCGGAGCTGACCATCGTCTCGACCCGGGCCTTCTAAAAGCGCGCAAGTTGAAGAATCAGGTTCCGCCCAAGGGGAGCTTCACCATGGCTACAGTGCCCCTTGTTCCACCAAATCATCGTTCGGCCCGACCAAGGTGGCAGCCCGCCTGCGGCGCCGCCCTTCTCTTCCAATGGGTTTCTCCTCCGCGGAGACGACCCGGCGGCGGCTGGACGGGGCCGGCGGGGACGACGCCTTCGCGACGATGGCCGTGGCGACGCCCGTCGACGAGATCGCGACGACGACGGACTCCGAGGCCTTTTTCACGACGACGGCCTGCTACGCGCACCCGTCGCCGCAGGCGCCCTTCGTGCCCCGGGCCCTCGACGCCGCGCCGCCGCCCTTCGAGCCGACCATCGCCATGGTCGCGGAGATGGACCTCGGCGAGGCGCTCGGCGCGACGCGCGTCGCGGAGTCCGACCTCGGCGGCGCGCTCGGCGCGCCGCGGCCCAGCGCGGCGCCCGGCGGCCGCCTGCCGCCGCTGCCGCTCGACCTGTCGGGGCGGAGCCTGGACCTCGGCGCGCCGCCGCTCTCGAGCGGCCGGCGCCGGCCGCGGCGCGCGGCGCCGCGCGGGCCCGCGCCGCGGCCCGGCGACGACGACCCGCCGCCGGCCTACGACGCCGCGTACGACCCGCCGCCGGCCTACGACGACGCGCCGCGCCAGCCGTCGGGTGGCCTCGCGCGCTGCGGGAGCCTGGACGGCCTCTGGCGCGAGGTCGCGTCGCCGCGGCACCGCGGCGGCGACGCGGAGGCGTACTTGCAGCGCCTGAACCTGCCGCTCGGGCTCAAGCTCCAGCTCCAGAAGTCCGTCGACACCTACGTCGAGCGCATCTGGATCATCGATAATTCGGGCTCCATGAGCACCTGCGACGGCCACAAGATCATGCGCAGCGCCTGCGGCGACGTGTCCGTGACGTGCAGCCCTGTGTGCAAATCAACCGCTGGTTCGGACGTCCCGACCAAACTTCAAAATTCTCTAGCTCGGTCGAATCGAAGTCGTTTTGGCTAATTTTTGGACGAGTCGATTGCTCTCGGCGAGTTCTCGAAGCACGGCGCCCATTGAAGTCGTGTTGAAGATTTATTCTCCACACAGCTGCAGCCGCTGGGAGGAGCTCACGGACACGATCCACTGGCACGCGACGCTCGCGGCGCGGCTCCGCGCGCCGACGACCTTCGTGCTGTTGAACCCGCCGGGCAACGGCGAGCCCCAGAGCTGCAGGGTCGGCTACGAGCGCGACAAGCGCTGGCTCCACCGGGGCCACGACTCGATCTACTGCGACCCGGCCGACGGGTCCATCACGCACACCGTCGACGAGGACTCGGCGGAGTTCGAGGTCGAGCGGCTGAAGAACATGCTCGCGTCGGGGCCCGGGGGCAAGACGCCTCTGTGCGCCGCCGTGACGTCGGTCTGCGGCGTGCTCGCGCGGCGCGCGCCGGAGTTGCGCTCCCGCGGGCGGAAGGCGTGCGTCGTCATCGCGTCCGACGGCGCGGCGACGGACGGCGACGTGCACGCGGCGCTCGCGCCCCTGCGGGACCTGCCGGTCTGGGTCATCGTGCGCCTCTGCACGGACGAGGAGAAGGTCGTGAACTACTGGGGGCGCGTCGACGAGGACCTCGAATTGGACATGGACGTGCTCGACGATCTGGTCGGCGAGGCGAACGAGGTCTGCGAGCTGAACCCGTGGCTGAGCTACCCCATGGTGCTGCACCGGCTCCGGGAGTTCGGCAGCTCGGACAAGATCTTCGACCTGCTCGACGAGCGGCCGCTGAGCCTCGCGGAGGCCAGGGCAGGAAAAGAGAGCGAAATTCCCAACTTCAAAGGCTCCTCTCTCGGCCGTTGTCCAGTCGTTTCGGCTGATTTTTGGACGAGCGATCATCTCTTGGAACGGTCTCGAAGCGTGGGTGCTTTTTCCGGAACGCGCGCGCGCGGAACACTCACGTTGAAGCGAACTTGAATCTCTCTTTTCCTGCCCAGGCGGAGGCGGCGGACCTCGCGAAGCTGATCTTAGGGCCGCAGGCGACGGCGGCGCTCCCGCACCCGGAGCTCGACTTCCCCGCCTTTTCCCGGGCGCTCAAGGGCGCCCTGGCCTGCGAGCCGGCGGTCTGGTGCCCGCTGCGGAAGCGGCTCCTGCCCTGGATCAACGTCCGGAAGCTCCGGAAGCTCCGGAAGCGCAAGCCGCTCCTGAGCCACCCGGCGCTGCTCCGCGCCCAGAGCTCGAGCGCCGCCTGCGTCCTGTCGTAATTAAAAAAAAAGGGCGTTTGTTTCATGGGGTGCTTGCGGGCGACAGTGGCGGCGAGGCCTGGCGCGCGCGGCGACGCGCGCCGCTGGTGGCGCTGAGCGCGCGGCGCCAGTTGTTGAGAGCGCTCAAAAAGCATCTCCCAAGGTCGACCCGCGCGCCGCCTCGTCGCGCCGCGCGACAACCGAACGCAGCTCCAGCTCCAGCGCGCGCATAAACCAAACGATGGACGACGACGACGACGACCTCTTCGGCGACGTGCCCGCCGTGCGGCGCCCGGCGAAGAAGCCCAAGCCGTCGACGTCGCTCCTCGACAGCTTCATGGTCGCCGACGCGAAGAAGGCGTCGCGCCTCGAGTCCCTGCGGCTCCAGAACGCGGCGTCCCGCGAGAAGGTCGCGTCGATCAGCGAGAGCAAGGAGCCCTGCTGCGAGCCCGGCGGCGGCGCCGCGGCGCCGCAGATCGACTGGGACTACATCCGCCGCGGCGCGGGCGCGGCGCCGCCGCCGGCGAAGAAGCTCGTCGACGGCTCCGACGACGAGGACGGCGTCGGCGGCGCCCTGGACGACGAGGTCTACGAGGCCGTCATCGGCGCGGCGCTGCCCGCGCACCTCGGGTCGCCGGACGAAGCGACCGCGGCGAAACTGCTCGCGCAGGCGCGCTTCGAGCTGTCGCGGGACGCGGGCGCCGCGCGCGAGTGCAAGGACAGCAACGCCGTCGCCCTCGCGGAGTACGGCCTCCTCGAGGCCTTCGCGCAGCTCGCCGCGGAGGACGACGACGCGGCCGCGGCGGCCGCCGCGGACGCGGGCTCGCCGCGGCGGCGGCCGCCGGACGCGACCGCGCGCCTCGTCGAGGCGCTCGAGGAGGCCTACGGCGCCCACTACGTGACCACGCAGCGCGGGCTCGGCGCCGCGGCGGGCCTGCGGAAGCTCGACGTCGGCGCCGCGCTGATCCGCTGGCTCCAATTGCTCGTCGCGTTCGACGCGCGCGACGCGGTCGCCTTCGGCGCCGCGGAGACGCTGGCCAAGCTCGCGGAGACCCACGACGCGGCGACGCGGCCGCTGCTGACGCCGGACGTCGTCACGCTCGTGCTGCGCCACTACGTCAAGGCGCCGCTCGACCTCGGCGAAGCTCTGGGCGGCGCGGGGCCCGGGTCGACGCGCGACGGCAACGCGCCCGCGCCGCGCCGCCTCGCGCGCTGCCTCGGCGTCTGGGCGGCCTGCGTCGACGCCGGGGCCGCGGCCCTCGACGCGCCGGCGCTCGCGGCGCTCGGGAAAGTCTGCGCGGGCGTCGTAGCCCCCGACGCCGCGGTCCACGACTGCCGCGGGTGCCGCGCGGCCGCGCGGGACCTCGCGCGCGCGGCGCTCCTCGCCGCGGCGGACTTCGACGGCTTCGGCGACCTGCTCGCGCCGGCGCTGGTCGAAGACGCGGCGCCGCTCTCCGCCGGCGACGCCGCGGCTCGCTACGTGATCGCTTTGAACGCGCTCCCCTGCCCGGCCGACGGCCGCTTCGTCGCCGCGCACGTCGCCGCGGCGACCGGGGCCCTCGTGGGCCTCGGGGCGCTGGACGACGCCGGCGTTCCGCCCCCCGCGCGCGTCGCGGCCGCGCTGCACAAGTGCGAAACCTCGAAAACCGCCGAGTCGCCGTGCCTCGGCGCGCACGAGACATTCTACGCCGCGCTCGCCTGCTGCGCGTCCCTCTTCTCCCAGCTCGCGCCGACGTTGGCGCCTCCGGACCGCGCGCTCATCGAGGACGCGGCCCAGGCCCTCAAGCGCAAGCTCCGCAACGAGATGGACCCCATGGCCGCGCGGAACATCGAGCTCCTCGACGCGCTCCTCACGGACCTCAAGCTCGACACGACGAAGAAGGTCTCCAAGCAGACGACCCTCGACTTCGCCGCCAAGTAGGCGGCACGGCCTGAGACGGTAACATTAGTGCACCTTGCACTGATCGTGAAGATTTGCGAGCGCGCGCGTGCTCTCTCTCCAGACGTCAGACCGCCGGCGTCGCGCCGCGTCGAAGAAAGCGCGCACCGCATACGAGTCGACGAAGGCCGCCGAGCGCAGCGAAGAAAGCGTCGGCGCGCCGTCACCGTATACTACCATGCTCCGCGCCACGATCCTCACCGACAGCCAGCGCGCCGTGAAGCAGTGCGCCAGACTCTTCGACCAGCTCCGCCTGACCTGCGAGGCGCCCTTCGCCGTCGGCAGCACGGGGAGCCGGACGGCCTACGCCGCGGACAACGTGGGCATCGAGGTCCTGGAGGTGTCCTGGCTGTCGCGCGTCCGGCAGGCCCGCGGCGCGCCGCCGCTGGGTTCGTTGGTCGCCTTCGGCGCGACGACGGGCGCGTCGACGTCCGTCGGCGCCCTCGTGCACCGGTGCTGGCGCGACGGGCCGGGCCTGGCGCTCGGCGGCTTCGAGTTCGCGCCCGGCGCGCGCGGGCGGCTGCGCGAGGTCGTGCTGAGCTCGTCGGGCGTCGAGGCCTCCGCGCGGGAGCTCTGCGACGCCGCGCGGCGGTGCCACGGCGCGACGTCGGCGTCGCCGGGCGTGCTGCGGTCCGGCGCCGTCGACTTCCGCGTGCAGCCCCTGTCGCTGGGCACGTCGGCGCTCGTGCTCCGCACCGAATCCGTCGCCGACGCGCTCGAGGAGCTCCGTTCGTGCGGCGCGCGCGCGGACCGCGTGGGCCACTCGGCGTTCGGCGACCCGGGCCAGCTCGTGCTGGGCCTCCCCTGGGCGGCCGGCGGCGTCGAGCTGCGCCTCTGCGAGCGGCTCGAGCCCGCTTCACAGTTCCACGAGTCGCACTCCGCGATCGCGGACTCGCCGGACGTGATCCCGGACCTCCAGTCGAAGCACCTCGCGGGCGCCGTCGAGGGCGCCGACGACGCGAGCGCCGCGACGGCGCGGGACCCCATCGGCCACTGCTGGATCGAGGCCCACGCCATGCTCAAGAGGCCACACAAGCTCTTCCTCGCCAAGTAGCGCGCGCCTTGTTCGCCGCCCGGCCGATGTAACTTTTTCCGTTCGTTACTGGGCCCTTCGCCTAGGGCGCGAAGACGACCGCCGCGCCGGCGCCCTCGGGCGAGAGCACCGCGCACGTCGCGCCGAGCGCCGCGGCTTCGTCCGCGCCGAGCGGCGCGGGCGCGACGACGCCCGCGACGGCCGGCGACCGCGCGGCGGCGACGACGGCGGCGAGGTCCGCGGCCGCGCCCGGGACGAGGACGACGGGGATGTCGAAGCCCACGGGGCTCTCCTCGGCGTCGTCGTGGCGGATGCCCTTGAGGTCCACGTGGCTGCCCAACGCCATCCGCGACCGGTTCGCCTCGAGGGCCGCGACGGCCAGGGCCGCCGCCGCGGCGTCGGCGACGCGGGCGACGAAGAAGTCGGGCGCGGACGCCGCGCCGACCTTGAGGTAGGCCTCCGCGTCGCCGTCGACGTCGAGCGACAGGCCCGCGGCCGCCGCGCCGTCGCCGCGCGCCGCCAACAGGCACTCGAGGTCCAGCGCCAGCAGCGTCTCCGCGAAGAGCTTCTTCTCGCCCTCGGACACGAGCGACCGCGGCACGCAGTGGCGGTACCCGCTCGGCTGCGTCTTCTTGAGCGTCTGGTCCGGCTCGTTGACCTCGTAGTAGGAGATGTCGTTGTCGCGGCCGTAGTCCTCGAAGAAGGGCACGGCCTGGGACTCGAGGAAGGGCACGCCCCACTTCGTGCCCGTCGCGATGGCCGCGACGTCGCCTTTTTCGAAGAGCGCGGCGTACTGCGCCGTCAACGCGGCGCGGCCCTCGGCCTTGAGGAGCAGCTCCGCGCCGAGGAGGCTGTCGCCGCTGGCGACGGTCTTCAGGAGGATGCGCGCGCCTTTCGAGAGCTGCATCGTCCCGACTTTGCGACAGCCGCGGTCCGAAGCCTCCAGCAGCTGCGATCGATGGCCGCGGCGAAATTTCAGCGATGCTGAAAACTTCCACATCGATCGTCGTCCATCGACCTCGACGCTCGACGCTCCGCCGCCGCACTCGCGGACAGCGAACGCCAAAGCACCCATGGCCGACGATCCCAATGGCGAGGCCGCGGGCATCGCGTTCCTCGAGGCGAACAGGGCCAAGCCCGGCGTCGTGTCGCTGCCGACGGGCCTCCAGTACAAGGTGCTCGTCGAGGGCGCGGGCCTCAAGCACCCGACGGTCGACTCGCCCTGCGAGTGCCACTACGCGGGCATGCTGCTCGACGGCACGACCTTCGACAGCTCCTACAAGCGCGGCAAGCCGAGCACCTTCGCGCCGAACCAGGTCATCAAGGGCTGGACCCAGGCGATGCAATTGATGGTCGTCGGCGACAAGTGGGAGATGTACATCCCCTACGAGCTCGCCTACGGCGCCAACGGCAAGCCGCCGAAGATCCCCGCCAAGGCCATGCTGATCTTCGTCATGGAGATCGTGCGCATCAAGGGCGACAGCACGCCCGTGACGAACTTCCCGGCCTGGGCGCCCGACGATCTGGCGCTCTGGACCGCCAAGGACGAGGCCGCGTGCGACGCGTGGCGCGAGGCCAAGGCCAAGAAGTACGAGGCCGGCGACGAGAAGCTTCTAGCCAAGTACGCCGACCGCGGCGCCTTCGACGCCTGGCTCGACAAGCAGTGCCTGTCCACGAAGAACCAGGCGCTGTGGAAGCGGACCAAGGCCGCGAAGCGCGCCGCGGGCGCGGACGCGTCGAGCCCGCCGCCGCCCGACGAGAAGCCCAAGCTCGACGCCAAGATCGCGCGGAAGCTCCTCGACGGCTGCCTCGCGGCCATCACCGTGCCCGCGACGAAGGAGAAGCTCGTCAAGATCGTCGAGGACATCGAGGGTACGGGCGACGAGTCGCAAAAGGGCATGCTCCGCATGGTCAAGCTCATGCCCGTCGTCTCCGAGATCCTCGCGCCCGTGCTCGACGACCACGGCTACGCCAAGGACGACCTCATGACCGTCGCCATGCAGCTCCAGGGCTTCGCGGCCGAGGACCCGACCATCGGCGTCGACACGATGAAGCTCATCAAGGCCGTCCAGGGCGACCTCTCCGACTTCGTCTAGGCGACTTTAAAAAGGTTTGCTCATCAGGGCCGTCCAGGGCGACCTCTCCGACTTCGTCTAGGCGACTCTAGGAAAAAACGGTTAGTCCCGGCCGAAGAACGACGCGAGCGCGGCCTTGGCCTTCTTGAGCAGCTTCCGCGCGCCCTTCTTCCGCTTCTTCGGCGAGTCGAGGCCGTCGAAGAGCGCGAACGCGGGTTTGTAGCCCGCGCAGTCGACGTCCGGCGCGTCCGCGTCGACGCAGACCGCGGGCGTCTCGACCGTCGCCGCGTAGACGCACGTCGACGGCTCGTCGACGTCCAGGATGCCCGTCTCGGCGCCGCAGACGAGGGTCACGGCGAGGGACCGGCTCGGCCCGTTCCAGCAGTGCTCGCCGTGCTCGTAGACGAGCGTCGCGGTCACGTTGTTCGCGTGTTTCGTCGACCGCTGGTAGTCGCCGAGGCGCGTCGACCCCTGCTTGGCGCCCTTGAAGAAGCAGACCTCGTACTTGTAGCCCGAGAACTTCTTCGAGATGCACGTCTCGCGCAGCGGCCACAGCGCGGAATCGCGCCCGTAGCGGTCGTCGTCGCCGAGCGCGTCGCGCGCCTTGTCGAGGCGCCGCTCCTTCCGTCGCTGCTCCTCCTCGAGGTCCCGGAGCGCGCCCTCGAGCTTCTTCAACGCCTTCTTCTGCGCGGCGCTGACGTAGCCCTTGTCCGGGTCCGCGTGGCCGTCGACGTCGAGCCGCGGGTCCGCCGGCTCGTAGCTCTTCCCGTAGTCGAAGTCGTCGTCGTCGTAGCGCCGGCTCTTGTAGTCGTCGTCGGGGAAGACGTCGTCGGGGATGTCGCCGTACTCGTCGTCGGGGAAGTCCTCGTCGTCGAGGCCCGCGAACGAGTTCGACCCGTAGTCGCCGTCGCCGTAGTCGTCCCTGAAGTCGTAGTCGTCGCCGTAGGCGTCGTAGTCCTCGCCGCCGCCGTCGAGCTCCACGGTCTGCTCGTACTCCGGCGCGGGCTCGTCGAGCGCCGCGTCGGCGTCCGCGTCGGCGTCCGCGTCGGGCCGCTCGGGCTCCGCCTCGGAGTCTGCCGCGGCGTCCGCCTCGACGGCCTCCGTCCCGGGCTCGGGCGCGGCCTCCGATTCCGCTTCGGCCTCGACGGCCTCCGCCTCGGCGCCCTCCGCCTCGGCGCCCTCCGCCTCGACGCCCTCCGCCTCGACGGCGTCGGCATCGGGCTCGGGCGCGGCCTCCGATTCCGCTTCGGCCTCGACGGCCTCCGCCTCGGCGCCCTCCGCCTCGGCGCCCTCCGCCTCGACGCCCTCCGCCTCGACGGCGTCGGCATCGGGCTCGGGCGCGGCCTCCGATTCCGGTTCGGCCCCGACGGCCTCCGCCTCGGCGCCCGCCGCCTCGGCGCCCTCCGGCTCCGGCTCGGCGGCCTCGTCGGCGGCCTCGGCCTCGAGGGCCTCGGCCTCGGTGGCGGGCTCGTCGGCCGCCGGCTCGGCCTCCGCCTCGGCGGGCTCGACCGCCGGCAGCCCGTTGGCGACGCGGGCGAGGCGCACGAGCGCGTCGCCGGCCTTGGCCTCGCGCGCGAGATCGACGACCAGCCGCCGCAACTCCGACCCGGAGAGCGCGTCGAGGCGCAGCTCCTTGTAGATGGCCCGCTCGCCGTCGGCGCGCTTCAGCGCCGCGTGGGCCTCGCGCGCCTCGTCGACGCGCGCGCGCGCGGCGTCGATCTTCGCGCGCAGGCCGTCGAGCTCGCCCTCGGAGCCCGCGAGGACCCGCGCGGCCTCGGCCTTGCCCGCGCGGGCCTCGCAGGCCATGGTGCGCATCTTCGCGACGCCCGCGGCCGCCGCGGCCCTGGCCGCCGCCGCGTCGGCCTCGGCCCGGGCCCGGAGCGCCGCGCAGTCGTCGCCGCAGAATCCCGCGGGTTCGTCGGCGCCGTCGCAGCAGTCGCAGACGCCGTCGCCGACGCGGCTCGCGGGCAGGAACGCCGCGGACCCAGCGCCGCCGCCGGCGCAGGCGAAGGACGGCCGCGCCGCGAGCGCCGCGGACGCGCAGGCCGACGTGTGCGGCTCGTCGCCGCCGTCGACCGGGCAGTCGCAGTAGTCGTCGTCGACGCGGTCCGGCGGCACGGCGCAGGCGGGCGCGGCGTCGTCGGCGACGGCGCGCAGCAGCGCCGCGAGCAGCGCGGCGATGCGCCAGCGCCACATTGGTGCCGGCGCGTCGCGACGAGGCGAATGTCTTTGGACGCCGACTGTGGCGAGGCGGCGAGTCGGCGGCACCGTCGACCAGACCACGCGCACCGCCGCCTACGACACGATGCGCGCGCTCCTCGCCCTCGCGGCCCTCGGCGGCGCCAACGCCTTCGCGCCGCCGCCGCAGCCGCCCGCGACCCTCGTGCGACGGCACGCCATCAAGGTGAAGGTGGAGGTCGACATCCCCGCGCTCTGGGACGGCGCCAAGGAGGCGGCCTACAAGGTCGGCGACCTCGCCGGCGCCGTCGCCGGCTCCAGCGGCGAACAAAGCGCGAAGCCCCCCGCCGACCCCCTCGCCGCCGCGTCGGCGAAGATCAACGCGACGGTGGCGTCCGCGGCCGAAACCGCGGACGCGATCCGGCGCTTCCCGGCGGACGTCGAGGCGAAGGCCGCCGCGACGGTCGAGAGCGTCGCCAAGACCATCGACACGGTCCAGGCGCTGCCGGGTCGCGTCGCGGAGACGCTGGACGAGACCGTGGACGGCGCGAAAAGGACGGCGGCGCGCATCAAGTCCATCCCGTCGCGCGTCCAATCTTCCGTGGACGAGACCACGCGATCCATCACCGGCGCCATCGACTTCGTCGCCGACCTGCCGTCGCGCGCGCAGCGCACGGCCGACGGCGTCACGAAGACCGTGACCCAGACCGCGGAGACGGTGGAGAAGGCCGCGTCGGCCACGAATTCCTTCCTCGGCGCCGTCAAGGGCGCCGCGAAGGAGATCGCCGCGTACAAACCCGAGGACGGAGCGAAGGCGACGGAGGAGATGCTCGCCAAGGCCGACGCCATCGCCGCGGGGAAGGCGCCGACCGCCGCGCCCGCGGCGCCGGAGAAGCCCGCCCCCGCGTCCAAGGCGCCCGCCGCGGCGCCGAGCCCGCCCAAGGCCGCGGACGCCGCGGCGGACGCGGTCGCCCTGGCGACGCGGCTTCGCGACGCGGTCGTCGACGTCGACAACGCGGCCTACGGCGACAAGATCGCCGCGTCGTTCCTCGCGTCGCTGGTCTTCCTCGGCGTCGTCATCCCCACGTCCCCCTTCACGGCGCCGCCGCCCGTCCCGACGACGAAGCGGGAGAAGCGCGCGGCGTACGTCGCCGCGGAGCTCGCCGCGCGGAAGAACGCGCCCCGTCCGATCGCCGTCGACGATTAAGCTCCTCATATCTGCTCGAAGTAGCGGCGCATCTCGAAGTCCGTGACGGCGCGCTCGAAGGCGAGAACCTCGTTGTCGAAGAAGGTCGCGTAGTGGTCGACGACGACGTCGCCGAAGGCGCCGCGCGCGAAGGCCGACGCCTTGAACGCCGCGCTCGCGTCCTTGAGCGTCGTCGGCACGAGGGGCAGGCCCGGCGTCGAGTAGGCGTCGCCGACGAACTGGGCCGGCGGCTCGAGCTTGGCCCGGACGCCCGCGAGGCCCGAGGCGAGGACCGCGGCGAAGGCGAGGTACGGGTTCGCGTCCGCGCCGGGGATGCGCATCTCCACGCGGAGCGCCTCGCCGGAGCCGACGACGCGGAAGCCCGCCGTGCGGTTGTCGGCGGACCAGACGAGGGCCGTCGGCGCCCAGCTCTTCGACTGGTAGCGCTTGTAGGCGTTGACCGTCGGCGCGTAGAACCTGGGCGGCGGCGTCCGCGGCGGCGGGCGAACGGGGGACGCGGCGCGCGCGCGGCATGAGGTCGGGCGTGTGCGCCATCCAGCCCGCGAGGAAGTGGGCGAAGACGTCGGAGACGCCGCGCGCGCCTACGGCGTCCCTCCTTTTCTCGCGGGCGGCGCGCGTCGCGCGGGCGCGCACCGGGCCCGAGGTCGCGGTCGCCGAGGAAGGCGTTGGAGCCGTCGGGCCGCGTGAGCGAGCAGTGGATGTGGCACGAGCTGCCCGGCTCGTCCGCCGACGGCTTGGCCATGAACGTCACGGAGATGTTTTCCTGGTCCGCGATCTCCTTGAGGCACTGCTTGAAGACGACGTGGTTGTCGGCCATGGCCAGCGCGCCGTCGTAGCGCACGTTGAGCTCGTGCTGGCCCTTGGCCGCCTCGCCCTTGGACGTCTCGACGACCATGCCCGCGGCCTTGAGCGCACGGCGGACGCGGCGGTGGTAGAACTCGGTGCGCGCGCCCTGGAGGAGGTGGTAGTCCTCGACGTACTGGCCGATGGGCTCGAGGTTCGAGTGGCCCTTGGCGTGCGCGGCCTTGTAGGAGTCCGCGTAGATGAAGTACTCGAGCTCCGACGCGACGTTCGCGCCGCCGAGGCCCGCGGCGTCGACGGCGTCGACCTGGCTCCGGAGCACGGACCGCGGCGCGACGGCGACGGGCGCGCCCGTCGCGCCGTCGCGCACGTCGCACTGGACGAGCGCCGTCTTCTCGCGCCACGAGCACGCGCGCAGCGTCGCGAGATCCGGCGCGAGGTGGAAGTCGCCGTAGCCCTCGGCGTAGCCGAAGCCCGCGTAGCCGTCGACGGGGTCCATGGCCATGTCCACGGCCGCGAGGTAGTTGCAGGCGTGCGTGCCGTGGCCCAGGGCGTCGGCGAGGAAGAAGTCGGCGTCGAAGAGCTTGCCCATGGGACGGCCGTAGAGGTCGTGCATCATGACCATGACCGTCTCGACGTCGCCCGCCGCGACGCCCGCCCGGAGCTCCGACGCCGTCATGTAGGACCGCAGGGGCGCGGCGCGGCGCGCGAGGGCGCGTGCGGCTATCATCGTGCACTGAGAGGCTGCCCCGGAATTCAACCTCAACCTGGGGGTTCACCATTGCCCGGAAAAGCGCGCCACGCGACCGGTGCCGCCGGAGTTCGAGTCCCCTTTAGCGCCCGTTACCTCGGCGCGACCAGGGGCGGCCACCGCGCGGCGAGGGGCGCGTCCGCGCCCGCGGCGGCCGCGCGGCCCGCGCGGAGCGCGGCCGCGTCCGGCGCCGGCGGCGCGCCGAAGCCCGGGAACGCCGCGGAGAGGAAGGCGTCCCAGGCGGGGATGGACCACTCCTCGACGTGGCGCTCGACGAGGCCCGAGTCGCCGAGTGTGAACGTCGTCCGGCCGACGAAGGCCTTGATCCGCGGCCGCCAGGGCAGGCGCAGCGCGCCCTCGAGGCGCCACTCGGCGACGATGGTCGACGCGTCGACGAACGTCGGCGGCTCGAGGAGCTCGACGGCCGACCGCCGCGCGTCGAAGAGGCCCCGGAGCGACTGCGCGAAGATTTCGGGCGACCGCACGGGCATGTCCGGGTCCGGCGAGTCGAAGAAGCAGCGCGGGTCGTAGATCTCGCGGCTGAGGAAGCCCGTCACGTAGTACTGGCGCTCGTCAAAGTCCGCGGCGAGGACCGCCAGCGTCTCCGCGCGCGAGAGCGTGGCCCCGGCCGCCGGCGGCGGCGAAACGGCCGCGAACGCGTCGAGGCCGAGCAGCGACTTGTGCCGCGCGTAGAGCCAGGCCTGCGACTCGCGCGCCGCCTGCGCCGCGTCGAGGAACCGCCGCTTGAAGAAGGGGCACTTGAGCTGCTGGGCGCGGCCCTCGAGGCGGGAGGCGAGGGACAGCGCACTGGCCGCGGGGGCCCACAAAAAGAGCACGACGGCCGCGAGCCGTGCCCGCATCGTCGAGGGCGCGCGCCGACGCGTTTCGGGGACGAACGGTCGCCCAGATCGTGCGGCGCGGGCGCCGAAATCGGGTCCTTGAGGCAAGCCCAGAGTCTGGAGATCGAGGGCAACCACATTGCTCGAGAGGTGCACCTTGGCGCCGCGCGCGCGCAGTGCGCCATGGACAACACCTTGAACACGAACCTCGCGCGCCTTCGGTCGCAAGCGCACCTGATCCGCACGTCCATCGAAGCGCTCATCGGCCAGGCGCGGTTCCAGGCCGTGCTGCGCTGGGAGGAGGTGCTCTTCCAGTTCAACACGCTCCAGCGGCAGATGGACGACCTCCGCGACGAGATCGTCGCGCTCCCCATCCTGTCCTACTTCCTCCTCGCGCCGAAGCGCCTGCCGACGAACCCGGACGACAGCGCGCGCGCGGCGTCGCGGCGGTCGCGCGCCGCGACGAACGGCGACGCGTACGCCCCCCCGCAGTCCCGATGATGCTGAGCACGCGCGAGCTCCCGGCCATGGAGGAGGCCTGGGCCGCCGAGCGCGCGGCGCCGGAGCCGCGCATCCCCACGGTGCGTCGCTCCCGTCCCGCCGCGCGCCGCGCGGCGACGCGGCGACGCGCCTCGCGCGCAGGCCCAGGTCGAGGCGCACAACGCGCTCGTCGAGGACCTCGACGCGATCCTCCAGCCCGCGGACTACCGGAGGCCACTGCCGCCCGCACCGCCCGCGGCCGCGCCGGCCGTCGCGTGGCCCGCGGACCTCTAAGATGTCGGGTGGCTTCTGAGGCCGGCAGTGTCGCCGCAGCACTGCTGCGGACGTCGCACACGCCGAATGTCCGCGACGTTCTCTCTCGTCGGTGCGTTCTCCATTCGACTCCATTCCCCGGAGGAAGGAGCAAACCTCAACTTGTCGGGACTGCAACGAATCTTCTGAGATGTTTCATTTTTAGCCCCGTCGCGCCGACGCGGCTGGCTGGCCTGGGCCTGTGGAAGACGCCACCCTCCCCAGCATGGGCCGGGGCGGGTCGGGCCCGAAGGCTTCTAGCGAGGTGAAGAACGCGCACTGGCCCCCGAAGAAGAACGATCCCGTGCACAGCCACGAGCCGCCGGAGAATTGCTGCTGCTGCCCCCAAAAGGTCGTCGAGGAGGACCCGCGCATGGTGCGCGTCAAGTCCATGCAGCACATCCACGTCTCCCAGAAGGTCATCGACGCCCAGCCGAAGCCCGAGGACGGCGCACCGGACGCCGGGGAGACCAAGGAGGAGGGCCCGCCGAACGGAGGCGGCGGCAAGGAGTCGCCGCCGCGGGCCGAGAACGCGTCCGACGAGCCGGCGCCGGAGGCGCCGAAGCGCATGGACGACGACTTCGACGACGACCTGAGCCGCTACCCGGAGCCGGAGATCGTCATCGACGAGGTGTCCTTCCCCGAGGCCGTCGAGCGCAAGGACGCGCCCGCGATCGGCATCATGGGCTTCCTCTGCTGCGGCGGCAACAGCGGCTTCAAACGGGTGGGCTCCGGCGGCGCGCCGGCGGACATGCCCTGAGGCGAGCCGGGCGCCCTCGGCGCCCGCCTGTGTGCATAGCTTGTGTGTCGCCCGCCGCGACGAGCGCGGCCCGCGGCCGGCGCGAAGAAAAAAGAAGCGCCGGTGTGTAATTCGCGGAGGTAGTGGACGAGGTGCGTTCCGCCCAGGATAGGAGGGCGGTTCGAGGGCCGGGAGCGAAGTGAAGAACTCCGTGCGACCCGCCATTGAGTTCAACATCGCGATAACGCCTGCAACACAAACCGTGAGCGGCTTCGTTCCAGCACCAGTGGTGAATTCTCCGCGTCGATGGTCGACCGCACCGGCAACGGCGCGCGCGGCAGCCCTCTGCGGTTCGCGGTCGCGTCGCAGCTCCTCCGCGGCGCCGGCGCCTGGGCGCCCGACGCCGACGCCCTCGCCGCGACGGCGGGCCGCGAGGTGCGCGTCCTGCACCGGCACGCGAAGAGCAACGCGTTCCTCTACTTTTACGACGCCGACGACGAGGCGGCGGCGTACGGTGCGGCGACGCCGACGGAGGCGGACGCGGTCGAGGTCACGGGCCAGGTCACGGGCTCTACGTCGCGCTCATGGAGGCCCTCGCGGCGCGGGGCGGCTGGACCGTGCGCTACTTCGTCATGTGCGCCGAGTCCTACGACTGCGCGGCGAACCAGACGGCGGGCCTCATCCCCAAGGGCACGGAGGCCGTTATCAGTGTCCTGCGGCCGTGACGATTTTCGAGAGTTTTTTAACCGGGAAAACGATGAATAATCGTTACCGACGTGCTTGGTAGGACTTTATGCGCTACTTCCAGGACAACATGACGACCTTCGACGCCGTCGTCTCGTCCTTCCCGATGACATCGGCGACAATACCCTACCTGTCGTGGCTCGAGCCGCCGAGCCTCCGGACGGGCTGGTCGGCGTTCGCGCGGGCGCGCGGCCGCGCGATATGGTATGGTCCGACGCGCCGCGCGACGCGCCGCCCGCGCAGGTGCCGGACGGCAAGACGAGCGCGTCGCTCGTCGACCGGCTCGAGAACTGGACGCGGCCCTTCTCCGCGGACGTCTGGCTCGCGCTGTTCGTGCTCGTCGTGCTCGCCGGCGCGGCCTACGCGCTCCTCATCCGGGACGAGGCCGCCGGGAACCCGGGCGAGGACCTCTACACGGGCGTCTACCAGGCCGGCGTGACGATGACGGGCGCCGGCGGCTTCGAGCCGACGTCGCGCGCGGGCAAGGCCTTCGTCCTCATCTTCTCTTTCTTCACGCTGCTCGTCGTGGCGGCGTATACCGCGGGACTGCGGCGTCCTCCCGGCGCGGCGCTCCCGCCCCACTCGCGCGCGATCCGCAGGCGAACCTCACGACGTTCCTGACGATCTCCGCGATCGGGCAGCAGCCCATCACGCGCATCCAGTCCTTCGAGGACCTCGGCCTCCGGCCCTGCGTCAAGGCGACGTCGACGCAGAATTGGCTCGACGCGAACTACCCCAACGTGCGCTACGTGTCCATAAAGGACCTCCCGGGCTACGATCGCAGCGCCGACGCCTACTCGCAGCTCTTCCACTTCTTTCTCGACGGCGAGTGCGACGGCGTCGTCACGCACACGCACTACGCGCGCAACACGTTCATCCGCGACGCGCTCGGCGGCGGCGGCGCGCTCGGCTGCGACGTCGAGCCGATCGGCCCCGTCGAGGGCGAGTACGTCTACAGCATCCCGTTCCGCGACGACGCCGATGACCCGCTGAAGGACGCGGCGTCCTACGCGCACGCGCTCCTCATCGCCGACTACGCCAAGGCGCCCATCGAGGACGCGTTCTTCCCCGTGAACCCGCGCGTCGCCGCCGGCTGCGGCGCCGGGCCGACGGACGACGACCAGGACCTCGTCTTCGGCTTCCGCGACATGATCGGCTACTTCTTCATCGGCGTCGTGGGCCTCGCCGTCGCCGTCGTCGGCGTCCTCGTCGGCAAGGGCGAGGCGCGCTACCGCGCCGCGCGGCCCGAGCCCGGAGCCGCCGCCGCCGCCGCCGACGCGGCCGACGACGGGGACGCCGAGGCGCCGCTCAACGCGATCCGGCGCGAGCTCGCCGACATCCGCGAGCGGCTCGACGCCCGGGCGCCGTCGCCTCTCCCGTCGCCCCGCGGCCAGAGGAAGAAGCGCGGCGCGAGGAGAGCGCCGAAGGCGCCGCTCTCGCGTGCTCTCGTGCTCTCGCGCCTGCAGGAGGACGAACTCGGCGACATCGAGCTGCCCGGCGGGCGCGACGAGACGGCGCCGTCGCTATGCGGCGGCTCCTTCCTGTACGATCAAGAAGCTCTGCTCCCGGGGGCGGTCCGTCGTCCGGCGGCTCGTCGGAGCGCGCGGACGCGCGCGCAGGGGTCATGTACAAGGAGCACCGCCATCGATCACCGCTGCACTTCGGCCGGGGCCGACCCGCGGAGGAGCGGCGCCTTCTTCGCGTCGGTCGTGTTGGAGACGACGGCGTCCTCCGCGAGATCACAGCAGCATTTCTTCTCACCCCATTGCCAGCAATAGCTCCCGCAGTCGTCCATATACGCCGGGTCGCATTTGACGCAGTCGTAATCTTCCGTCCGCCCGGGGCAGTCGCTCCCGCATCGTCCATCGCAAATCGGGGCTGTCCCGATGACCGTGCCACCTGTCCGGCCCAGAGCTTGGCAGTAAGCGACGCACGTCGTACTGTCGGCGGCCACCTGGACCATGAAAGAGACCAAGAGCGTCTTCATCAGCAGCGCCATATTCGGATGTCAGCGCGTCGACCTTGAACGGCAGTTGAACCTGCAGTGAGCCTCAGAGTCTTTGGATGGTGAGGTCCATCGCGTGCCTGCTCGCCGTAGTCGTGCCCGCGGCTGCCGCACTGTCGACGATGCAGCGATCTCCAGCGTTCCCGCGCAACAAGGATCCCATCGCGGCGGCGATGGAGGCCGCCGGCTTCCCGGACTGCGGTACCATCTTGGAGCTCGGCTGCGGTCCCGGCGAGCACGCGCCGGACTTCGCGCGGCGCTGGCCGACGCCGACCTTCCAGCCGACGGACGCGGACGCGTCGGCGCTGCGGTCGTCGGACGCGCACGCGGCCGCCGCGGGCCTCCTCGGCTCGCGGATCCGCGCGGCCGCGCTCGTCGACGTGTCCCAACGTCCGTGGCCCAACGTCGAGGCGGGCGCCTACGACGGCTGCTTCTCCATCAACGTGGTCCACATCATGCCGCGGTCCGCCGTGGGCGCCTTCTTCGCGGGCGCCGCGGCGGCGCTCCGGAAGGGCGGCGTTTTGGGAATCTACGATACGTGGACCTTCGCGGGCTCGTACGTCGGCCCGAACAACGAGCGCTTCGACGAGTCGCTCCGGGCCCAGGGCTACGGCGGCGTCGCGTCCATCGAGGAGTGCGACGCGGCCGCGGCCGCCGCGGGCCTCGAGCGGCGCGACGTCGCCTACCTCCCCGCGAACAACCAGTTCGTGACCTACGCGCGTCGCTAACGGCGCTAGGCCACGAGCGTCGCAGAGACGTCGTCGAGGTAGACGTGGCCCGGCCCGCCGGCGATCTCGAGGACGAGGCCGACCTTGCCCGACGGCGTCGCCGGGAGGTCCGCGAGGTCGATCGTCGCGGAGCACGTCGCGTAGGCGGGCCCGAGGACGCAGGGCGCGCCGGCCAGAGCGCCGCGCCAGGGCTCGGACGGCGACGCCGCGTGCTCCGGGTCCGCGGGCGCCGGGTCCCAGGCGCCCGCGGCGATCGCGAGCGTCGACCCCGGCGGATTGGAGAACGCCGCCAGGGAGACGCGGACCGCGCCCGTCGCGCCGAGCGCGCCGAGGTCGAGGCCGAAGCCGAGGGGCGGGCCGTAGGCGTCGAGGCCCGCGCCGGGCACGGGCACGCGGACGGGCTCGTCGTTGACGAGCGTCAGCCGCCCCGCGCGGCGGCCGCGGAAGGGCCGCGCGCCGTCGACGCTCAGCCACACCTTGCCGTCGCGGCCGTCGTCGACGGCCGGCAGCGTCCAGTGCTGCGAGTGCATGTCGTAGTTGAAGCAGTTGCCGCGCCGCGGCGTGTCGGCGCACGTCACGTACGCGGGCACCGTCGGATTCTGGACCCACTCGAAGCCGCCGTCGCTCACGAGCTCCGCCGGCGGCGCCGCGGGGACGTCGCAGCCGCCCAGGGACCAGATTTTCGTATCGAGGCCGTCGAGGACGTCGGAGAAGGCGCCGTTCACGACGGGCCGCGACACGTTCGCGTCGAAGAGGCGTGTCGCCGCGCCGGCGGCGCCGGCCGCGGCGAACGTCGCGCGCGCGGGCGCGTCGCCCGCGTTCACGGCGACGACGCGGACGCACCCGTCGAGCGCGTAGGCCGCCGCGCGGACGACCGCGGGCCGCGACGGTTCCAAGAGGTCCTCCGCGGCGACTCGGATCTCCCGCCGTTCCCCGCGCATGAGGTGCGGGAGGAGCTCGTTGACGATCGCGTTCGCCTCGTCGACGTAGGGCAACAGCGGCCAGCGCTCGAACCCCTGTTGCCGGTTGAAGACGTACCAGTTCAGGTGGAAGAGGTCGCCCGTGACCAGACCGACGAAGGCCTCGGCGACGACCGCGCGGCCCGTCGCCTGGCGGCAGGGCTGCGGCATGTTCACGACGGGCTCCCACCGCATGGGCGCGAGGCGCAGGGCGCCGTCGCCGCCGGCGAAGGCGAACTCGCCGCCGACGGCGTCGCCCGCGTGGCTCGGCAGGTCCGGCCGGTAATTCTCGCGCATGGGCAGGTCCACGGCGAGAAGCGGCTCCTGGAAGCTGTGCATCTCGCCGCACTCGAAGGCGCCCGCGGCGACGTGGAAGGGGTCGAAGCGCCGCAGCGTCTCGTAGGCGTCGCGGACCTCGCGCGTGTACGCCGCGCCCTTGCAGCAGTCGTCGCCTACCAAGCATGACGGTGACGACTTCTCATCGTTTTCCCGGTCAAAATCTCTCGAAAGTCGTCACGGCCACAGGACGCTGGTGCGACGACAGATGTAGTAGCCGAGGAACGCGGGGTGGTCCCGGAGCCGCGCGGCGTGCTCGACGAGCGCCGTCGCGTTGCCCATGCCCGAGACGCCCAGCAGCGCGGAGATGCCTACCGCGTGCAGCGCGTCGAGCTCGGACGCGTTGAGGTCGCCGCCTCGAATGACCGTCGTCCCCCTCTTGGCCCAGTCCGCGACCGTGGACGCGCCGCCGGCGAAGCGCGGGTCGAGGCCCTCGCGGAAGACCGCGGCGTCGCCGTCGAAGACGCCGACGCGGCCGTACTCGAAGGGCGAGTTGAACCAGCCCGCGAGCGCCAGGGGCGTCAGCGCCGCGTCGCCAGCGGCGGCCAGCGCGGCGCCGCGGCCCGCGGCGCGCGCGTCGCCCGCGAGGTAGCCGCGCGAGTACGCCAAGGCCCGCGTCTCGTGGTCCACGGCGACGATGGAGCCCGCGTAGGACGACGGGGGCACCGCGCGCGAGAACCGCCGCGTCGCGGCGACGGCGACGTCTCCGAATTCCGCGACGAACGTGACGTTGCCCTCGACGCGGTCCGCGGGGACGGCGCCCAGCGAGAAGGGCAGGCGGAGGTCCGCGGCCGTCGCGGCCGTCGGCGCCACCAGGACGACGTCGTCCGTGAGGTCCGCGGACGCGAGCGTCGCCGAGACCGTCGCGCCCCGGGGCCAGAACGACGGGTCGAGCCGCGCGAGGAGCGCGCCGGTGCGCTCGACGGTGTAGGGCCGGCGGCCGACGGCGAACTCGACGGCGGCGAAGACGCTCGCGATGGGCGCCGAGGCCTTGTCGGACCAGTCGCCGGCGCCCGTCGGGCTCGCGCGGACCGTGCACGGGCCCCCGTTCTGCGTCGGGACCGTCGTCACGACGGCGCGCGTCGGGCTCAGCACCGTGGCGTTCAGCGCCCGCATGGGGCGGTAGACGCTCAGGTCCGCCGAATAGAGGTTGCCCGAGAGCCCGTCGATGGCGACGACCATGCCGTCGGCGAAGTTCTCGCCGTCGATGGTCAGCTGCGTGGCGATCTCGCGCGGGAAGCGCGCCGGCGTTATGGAGATGACGCGGATTGCGCCGTTCGTTGCCGTCCGCGTGCCGAGGCGGCCGAGCGCGGGCGCCAGCAGCAGCAGCAGATGCATCACAAGGGGCTGCTGCGCGACCATCGCGACCGGAACAAAGGCAGGTCGAAGGCGACGGCAAGTTGCTGTTCAATGAATAGACGCACCGCAGTACTAGTTGCGCACACACTCCCTCAACGGGCGCTCGCGGTAAGCGGCGAGTTACCACGGGGAGGCCGCGGGGGGTGGGGGGGGGCGGGAGGGGTGCGGCGCGCGGTCGTCGCGGCGCGCGCGCGGGTCGTCGTCGTGTCGGGGGGCGCGTCGGTCTTCGGGCGGGGGATCCGCCCCCTAGTCCTCCATGACGAAGGCCGGGGCGCCCTTTTTTCGTTGGCGGAGCTCCTTCTTCGACGGGGACTTGGCCGCGGCGACCTCGGCCTTGGGGTTTTTCGCGCGCCACGTGTCGAAGTTGGCTTTCACGTGGCACTTGGCCGCGAAGAGCGCGTCCTGGTCCTTGTCGCTGAGGGCGTCCCACTCCTCGGGCCCGCCGAGGTAGGTCTCCATGAGCTCCTGCATCTCCGCCTCGGAGAGCGCGGCGCCCGCGGCGAGGCGCGCCTGGACGTCCTTCGCGCGCTTCTGTTCGTTGAACTTGGCGAGGGGCCCCGCGACGAGCTTGTAGAGGATCGTGTCCTTGGCGCTCGGGTAGGCGAACTCGGCGGGCAAATCGGAAGCGGCGACCAGGTCCTTGACCGTCGTTTCCAGCAGCTCGCGCTCCTCCTTCGACGTCATCCGCGCCTTCGACTTGTCCTTCTTGCGGGCCGCGGCCTCGGCCTTGACGATCTCGTCGGCCCGGAGCCGGATGTCGGCGGACAGCGACGAGTCCCGCGACTTCATGAGGCAGGCCTTGGTGAGCTGGGCGACGTAGAGCTGGTGCTTCGACAGCTGCAGCGCAGGCTGCACGAGCGACGCGAAGAGGAGGATGAGGAAGACGGCGAACCGCAGGTCCGTCTTCGGCTTGTACTTGAAGTCGATGAAGGACCCGTAGAGGCTCCAGTACTCGCCCGGGTTCTCCGTGTAGTAGTCGAGCTTCTTGCGAAGCTCGTCGTCGGTCAGCACCTCGTTCGCGCGCGCGATCTTGTTGAAGCGGGCGAGGGCCGCGGCGTCGCCGGGGTTCTTGTCCGGGTGGAACTCGAGGCTCAGCGTGCGGTACTGGCGCCGGATCTGGGCTTTCGTGGCGTTGGGCACGAGGCCGAGCTCCGTGTAGCAGTCGGGCACGCCGCAGAACTTCTCCCACTTGTCCTCGAACTTGGCCTTGCCCGCCGCGGCCGCCAGCGACGCGGCGAGCACCGCGACCTTGAGCATGGTTCGAGGCGTGATCGGCGCGTTTTCGGAGGCGGCGCGGGCGGTGGCTACGGCTACGGCGAGTGCCACTTGGAGCTGCCTCAACTCGCCTCGGCGGCGGCACCATCAGCCGGATCGCCTCGCTGATCGTGCTTGCGGCCGCGCGTCTCGTCGCACACTCACAGCAACCATGGCCGAAGGAGGTGCCAAGCCCGCCGGAAACCCGCTCTCGAGGTGCGTTCGACCCGTGCGCCCGTCCCGCCGCCGCCGGGGCGCGCGGCGCCCGCCGCCCGCGGGCCGAAACCGCCCAGAAGCGCACAGTTCCTCGCGCCGCGCCGCGGCGCGCCGCTCACCTCCCCGCCCGCCCGCAGGCCCGCGCCGGCCCGCGGCCCCGCCGGCGGCGCCCTCCAGCAGCGGAAACGACCGGCGCGCACGTCGTCGGGCGGCGGCGCGCGCGCGATGCAGCGGTCGCAGCCGGGCATCCTCCGCTTCTACGCTGACGAGGCCCCGGGCCTCAAGATCGGCCCCACGACCGTGCTCGTCATGAGCCTCATGTTCATCGGCTTCGTCGTCCTCCTCCACATCTACGGCAAGCTCATGTCCTAGGGCCGCCCCGCGGCCGCGCCCATGACGCCCGAGCGCCGGCGGAGGCGCGCGTCTCGTAAAAGATCCACCTCGACGGCGCCCGGAGCGTTACCAGAAACGCTAGTTCCCCCGCGTGCCGAACTGGGACGCCCAGTCGTCGTAGCGCGCGAGGAGCGCCGCGTCGGCCGCGGGCTTGATGGCGCGCCGCGCGGCGTCGAAGTCCGCGAGCGACACGGGCCGCACGTCCCGCGCGCGCGCCGTCGCGACGCGGTCGCCCAGCGCCCGCAGGGGCCCCATGGCCGCCTCCTCCGCGAGCGCGCGCAGGTCCGACATGGAGTAGCCCTCCGTCGCGGCGACGACCTTTTCGCGCCGCGCCGCGTCGAGCGACGTGCGCGCGCCGTCCTCGCCGTCGAGCAGCGCGTCCAGGAACGCGCGCCGCGCGGCGCCGTCGGGCAGCGGGATGAGCACGCGCCGCGGCACGCGGCGGAGGAACGCGTCGTCCAAGTCCCACGGGCGATTCGTCGCGCCCATGAAGAGCACGCGCCCGCCGCCGCCGAGGCCGTCCAGATGCACGAGGAACTCCGTCTTGAGGCGCCGGCTCGCCTCGTGGTCGCCGTCGCCGCGCCGGCTCAGCAGCGAGTCGACCTCGTCGAGGAAGACGACGGACGGCGCGCGGTCCCTCGCGACTTTGAAGAGCGCCTTCACGAGCTTCTCGCCCTCGCCGAGCCACTTGGACGTCAACGCCGACGCCGAGAGCGCGAAGAAGGCGAAGCGGCTCTCGGACGCGACGCACTCGGCCAGCAGCGTCTTGCCCGTGCCCGGCGGGCCGAAGAGGAGGACGCCCTTCGGCGGGGACCGGAGGCCCTTGTACAAGTCCGGCCGCAGGTAGGGCAGCACCACGGCCTCCTTGAGCGTGCGCTTCGCGCCCTCGAGGCCCTTGACGTCGCTCCAGCCGACGCCCGGCGACGCGTCGAGCATCTCCGCCAGGATCTGCGCCTCGTGCGGCGACGGCGCCTCCGGGGCCACCGGCGTCTGGGCCGGCCGCGCGGCCGGAGCCGCGGCCGACGGCGCCGGCGGCGGGCGCGGCGGCGCGGCGACGCGCGCGCCGTAGGCGTGGTGGTCCGGCGCGCGCGCGCCGAGCGACGCTTTCAATTGCTCCGCTCTCGCCAAATACTCCTCGAACTTTTGAGCCAGCTGGGCTTTTTTCGCCGCGTCGCGCTCCTGCTTGAGGCAGCCGAGGAGCGTCGCGAGGCCGTCCTCATAGAGCGCGAGGGCGACTTTGAACTGCTTGAGCTCGTCGAGGCGCTTGCCCTCCTTGAGCTTGGCCACCGCGCTCTCGAGGGCGCTCTTCTTGGGCTTGCTGCCGGTCATGGACGAGAGGAAGGCGTTCATCGTGTTGTTTCGACTGTCCGGGCTGGCTGTCGCGGCTACGACGTCGAGGCAAGCGCCGCGCTTTTCGGGCTGGCCGTCGCGGCTACGGCGTCGGGGCAAAGTCGCGGACCATGCTGAATTACCACAACTTGGCACAAGGGCTCGCTTTCTCGCGGCCGCGCCCCAAGCTCGACGTCGCGCCGGCAGCCAATACCGACGCGCGCGACGCGCACGGCCGCGCCGGCCCGCCGCCGATTGCCCTAGGAGACGCAGCGACCGGCGGCCGCCGCGCCCTCGCGGAACGCGGAACGACCGCCGAGCCCTCGACGACCGACGAGCGCGCACAGCACGCACAGCCATGCCGCAGATCGTGCGCATCCGCGTGCCGACCTACGAGGACATGGACGTGGGCGCCGGCCCCATCACGCTCTACCCCGTGGAGGTGACCTACGACACGGGCAAGTCGCGCAAGGTGTCGAAGCGCTACAGCGACGTGCTCAACTTCCACACGACCTTGCTCAAAGCCGCGCCGCACGTCGCGCTCGAGACGTTCAACTTCCCCCACAAGTCCCTCTTCTCCACGTCGGCGGAGTTCACGAAGGAGCGGCGGCGGAGCGGCTTCGAGGAGTACTTCGAGCTGCTCTTACGACTCGGCGCCGCGTACGCGCCGTTCGTGGCGACGTTCCTGCGGCACGGCGAGTTCCAGGACGAGGTGCCGTCCTTCGAGGAGCTCGGCGCGTCGGCGGGGGGCAACCCGCCGACGGCGAAGCGCCTGAACTCGCTGCTCCTCGACGGCCTCGGCGGGCGGCCGCACTCGCCGCCCGCGCTCAAGCTCGAGCGGCCGAAAACGGCCTTCCACTGGTTCGGG